AGCTAGTACACAGGGCTCAGTTATACACAGGGCTCAGCTAGTACACAGGGCTCAGTTAGTACACAGGGCTCAGTACACAGGACTCAGTTAGTACACAGGGCTCAGTTAGTACACAGGGCTCAGTTAGTACACAGGGCTCAGTACACAGGACTCAGTTAGTACACAGGGCTCAGTTAGTACACAGGACCTAGTTAGTACACAGGGCTCAGCTAGTACACAGGGCTCAGTTATACACAGGGCTCAGCTAGTACACAGGGCTCAGTTAGTACACAGGGCTCAGCTAGTACACAGGACTCAGTACACAGGACTCAGTTAGTACACAGGACTCAGCTAGTACACAGGGCTCAGTTAGTACACAGGGCTCAGTTAGTACACAGGACTCAGTACACAGGGCTCAGTTAGTACACAGGGCTCAGTTAGTACACAGAGCTCAGTTAGTACACAGGGCTCAGTTAGTACACAGGGCTCAGTTAGTACACAGGGCTCAGTACACAGGACTCAGTTATACACAGGGCTCAGTTATACACAGGGCTCAGTTATACACAGGGCTCAGTTAGTACACAGGGCTCAGCTAGTACACAGGGCTCAGTTATACACAGGGCTCAGCTAGTACACAGGGCTCAGTTAGTACACAGGGCTCAGTTATACACAGGGCTCAGTTAGTACACAGGGCTCAGTCGTCCAGCACCAGAACACTTCCTGGACAGCCCCATGAGCTCACTGGAGTGGGTCCCCCTGAACCTCCCGTCCCTCGAGGCATGATTGGGGCCAGGCTGCTGCCCAGGGAGGTGCTGCCTCCCAAGGCCAGTGCCAGGCTTTGTGTCCCTCAAAGTTCCATGCCCCGGATGTTGGTTCCCCAAGGGTGGGGGATGGTGAGAAAGGAAGTGGGCACAAATTGAGCTGGGTCACTGGGGGAGCTGACCTGAGAGGACCAGTGCTGGTGTCGAGAGTGGCTTAGTTCTACGGAGAGTGGGGTGTTGCATGCAAGACCAGCCCACACGCTGGGGTCCTCTCCTTGCTGGCCAGGTTCTTCTGTGTCTCTGCAATGCTGTGATGCAGCCAGGACCAGGAGGCCGGCACCAAGCTCTTTAACCCTCCAGCAACCAGAATCCTGAACCAAGTCTGCGTCTCTCCCCTGATAAAGCACACTAAGCCGCTGACATTTTGCTACAGCAAGTGCAAACAAACATCCAGGTAGGACTGGAGTGGAGGGGATTGTGTCTGGGGTTCAAGCCAGGACCCTCCACTGAGTGCTCTGAGAGGCGCGGTTTCAGGTTTGGCCACGACAGGGAGTCAGTCCTGGAGGCTTCAGTTCTGTTTGAGGCGTGGGCTAACCTGGGTCCACACAACAAAGGGCAGAGGAGAAGGGGCTGGAGTGGGTGCCCAGAGGAGGAGATCTAGGTCTAGACCTTGACCTGCTACCCACTGGTGTTCCTCACTCTGTCCTCCCCACCCGTGAGAAGGTCAGTGGCCACCACGACCACTCTGCCTGCTCTGACTTCTGGGGCCCTGACCCTGGCTGGCCTGGAGCCCCCTCTGAGGACAGGGACTGTGCTTCTGCCCCTCTGTGGTCCTGGGCGCATTGGCAGCTGCCAAGTAGACGCCATGCTACTCTGAATTCAATGGCTCCTACGCATACACCTTCTTCCCTTGTCCCCACATCTCGAGATGCTGAGGGTAAAGCCCCAGATGGAGATTCACACGACCCAGCCCTGCCCACAGGATCTGGGCTGTCCCCACCCACGCCACTCCACCCCTCCCAGCAAAGCAGGCCACCAAGCTCATCTGGACTTGCCTGGGATGCCAGCCCTGGGTCCACCAAGACTCAGCAGTGCCAAGTGAGAAGCTTCCACTCTCTCAGTGCCTGTGGCGACATCCAGGTCGGCAGCCTCACCACATTTGGAGTGTGGGTCTCCCCTGCTCTTGCCGGGTCTTGTAGTAAGTACCTGCAGCTTCCAGAGCGCAAAACAAAAACGTCTGTGTTCTAAGAATTCGAGTAGCATCCGGTTTCTCAATGGCAGCTCTTACAGGCAGAAGACAGGAAATGTGTTCAAATCTGGCAGGACAGTAATTTCCTAGGGAGATTTCTACTCAGTCCCCCTTATGGGCAAAGACACTAAGGACATCTGGCGGCCTCCAGCCTCTCGAAGAGCCCTTGGGTGAGCAGTGACATTAGGGGATGGGCCCATTTCTGAAACCCAGCACTCCCACAGGACCAGCCTGTGGTAAGTCTCAAATGTTTCAGAATCTGGGGGCCGGCGCCATGGCTCATTTGGCTAATCCTGGCTGTGAGAAGGGAGGCACAGCTTGGAAGCAGCTCAGCATTTCACTAGGAGGTCCTGCCCAACCCCAACACCACCACAGCAGGCCGGGTCTCCCCCAAGGAAGGCGCCCCAGGAGATTCCTCTCTGCCCATTGCCAAGTGGGATGCCCAGTCTGATAACTGTGGCTATAATAAAACCTTGCGAGGAATGTAAACGGTTCCAGCAAATCATTTGTTCAGAAGAGGGTGCAGCTATCCGCTAAACACACAAGGGTGGGACAGGCACAGGACAGACAATCCCCATCTGGAAGGGAGGAACAGAAAGCAGGAAGCGGTAGCAGGCCCCCCCGTAAGGCCAGCACCGACCAGGGAAGCTTCAAGTCTGAAAGTCCCTGGATAGCTTTCCCTAACTCCTTGTGCCTGTCCCTGGGAACACTGGTTGGGATCTGGGTCCCAAAGCCTCAGGTAGTCCCAGCCCAGTGTTTTCCCAAGGCTCTTGCAGGCTTCACTCTTGGGGTCGGGGTCTCATGACTGCAGCTGTATGGTCCCGCCCCTGAGGTTCAGTAGGCAATGACCTGTGGGGCCTGTCTCTAAGAGCTCTGACCCCACATTTCTTTGGGGCCTGCCCTGGTGATGGGGGAGGAGGGCTGTGTGCAATGCCTCCAGCCCTGCCACAAGTGGATCACAGGCAGTGGGAGACCTCCCGGGTGACTAGGTGGGGGAAGCCAAGCTCCTACTGCTCTGGCATTCCATGCGGACACCACCTAGCTTACATCTTGTGCACTTTGGAGAGGCAGGCCAAGCCGTACCTGGAACCACACGGACCACAGCAGGAGTGCGTGCTGCAATGAGTGGAGGGGACATTTGAGGGACGTCCTGAGCAGCAGTCTTGGGGAGGGTCCCCTTGCAGGTCCGCCAAAGCCATTCTGCCCTCCTAGAGCCCTGGGCCAGTGAGACAAGGGGCAGGCATAAGTATTTCTCTTTTTAAAATATACTAAGCATTATTTATTTATTTATTTATTTGAAAGACAAACTAAGAGAGAGAGAGAGAAAGAGAGAGAGAGATCTTCCATCCACTGGTTCTCTCTGCAAATGGCTGCCACATCCAGGCCAAAACCTGAGCCTGGAACTCCACGTGGTGACCAGAGCCCAGGCACTTGAGTCACCTTCCAAGGCTTTCCCAGGTGCATCATTAGCAGGGAGCCAGGTCGGAAGCTGAACATCTGAGACTCCATCCAGCAACAGGTCTGGGATGCCAGTGTCAGAGGAGGCAGCTTAACCCACTGCACCATTAGCTGGCCCCCACAAGCACTTCTGAAATGCCTTCAGGGTCTCTCCCATCTTCCCCCTGTCCAATCTCCTTAACACACTGGCACTCAGCCATCCTCCATGTCTTTTTTTTTTTGACAGGCAGAGTGGACAGTGAGAGAGAGCGACAGAGAGAAAGGTCTTCCTTTTGCCGTTTGTTCACCCTCCAACGACCACCGCGGCCAGCCATGCTGACCCGATGGCAGGAGTCAGGTACTTATCCTGGTCTCCCATGGGGTGCAGGGCCCAAGTACTCGGGCCATCCTCCACTGCACTCCCTGGCTACAGCAGAGAGCTGGCCTGGAAGAGGGGCAACCGGGACAGAATCCGGTGCCCCAACCGGGACTAGAACCTGGTGTGCCGAAGCCCCAAGGCGGAGGATTAGCCTAGTGAGCCACGGCGCCGACCCTCCATGTCTTCTGAACAGTGTTTTCATTCTCTCCCACGTGACCAAGCTGAGAATATTCCCAATCTTTCTGCACTTCTTCTATTTGATTATGAGTCCCTCCTTTAATCCTTGTTTTGCTCATTCATTGCCTGGGAGCAGTTACAAGTAGCCATGCAGTAGCCCGCGTGCTCTGCTGCTTAGAAATTGGTGCCGCTGGGTACCTGAGATCTTTCACGTTTACCATCTGAGTCCCAGAAGCCTGAAGCGGATAGGAACCCAGCCCCTCCACTGGGCCTTGGAGGCAGACGCCATCAGGGCCTACTCTGTCCTGCTTTCCAGCTCCCTCGGCCTCAAGTGTCTTGCCTGCCTTCTGATATCAAATCGAGCACTGAGTTCAGCTCACTGAACTGAGGGAGGGGTGCAGCCAACCCTACAGGACTCTGATCCCTGGACTCGTGAGCTCATTGGTTTCTCCAACAGCTGACATCCCCATGTTCAGTCTGGCTGAACTGGATCGGAAGTGGAGCAGCCAAGACGAACCGGCACCCATATGGGATGCCGGAGCTTCTCTATCTCTCTTTCCTTCTCTCTCTTTGTAACTTTGACTTTCAAATAAATAATTAAATAAATCTTTTTAAAAAAAACATACAAGACATACTAGCATTTATTAAGTGTTTATTAATTTCATCTGCTTGAAAAGCAGAGCAAGAAAGACAGAGATAGAGAGAGAATGTCCATCTGCTGGTTCACTCTCCAAATGTCTGCACAGGACAAGCACTCAATGGAGACCACATGGACTTAGTTTGGAAAAATCACTTAGCAACGAAACAGCTGCACTGCAGCAAGAAGCACCAACACCACGCTGGGGCCGAAGAGACGCCCCGAGTGCACCTGCCAGTGCCTGAGAGGTCCAGCTCTTGCAGGAAGCTCTAAGACATGCACAGGGTCAGGAAAGCAGGGCCACGAAGAGGAAGAGCGAGCGTGGACACTCCCTCTGAGGCTGCACTTTCTACACAAAGACTTCAAATCCGCTCACTCAAATACGTCCAAAGAGAGACAAGAGATCGTTTCAAAAACGAAGGGAAAGTGAGCAGTGGTATCTTATCACAGTGAGATTTTCCTTACAGAGACAGACTCCATGGAGGAAGCAGACAGACACCGTAGAACTGGAAAGCACAAAAACGGAAATGAGATCCACTGCGGGGATCTTGAGCAGACGTGAGCGGGCAAGACAGAGTCAGCGAACGCAGGAAGGGTCAGCGGGAGCATCCACTGTAGGACCAGAACAGGCCTGCGCATCCACGAGCAGAGGCTCAGCCCACCCAACACACAGCACACACAAGTGAGTCCTGGGCAGGAAGCCAGCCAAATGGTCCTGACAGACCACGTGCACAGGGTGACTGAGAGCTCCAGATTTAGTGAAGAACCATCTGCTCACCCAAGAGGCTACCTGGACTCCAAGCAGGGTAAACTCCTAGGATCTACACCTGTGAAGCAGGAAGTTAGAAATTAGCCTGTGCCTGTGAGAGGGGTGTGAGGGAAATGAAGCCCCCGCACGGAGGGAACCAGAGGGAGGCAGCAGCCTCCAGCGGCCTGGAAGGCTCAGCTTGGAAGCAGCTCAGCATTTTACCAGGAGGTCCTGCCCAACCCCAACACCACCACAGCAGGCCCAGTCGCCCCCAAGGAAGGCGCCCAGGAGATTCCTCTCTGCCCATTGCCAAGTGGGATGCCCAGTCTGATAACTGTGGCAATAAAACCTCGCAAGGAATGTAAACGATTTCTCACCCAGCAAATCATTTGTTCAGGAGAAGAGGATGGAGGTCAGGAGAAACGGCAGGAAGAACTGGACCCTGTTCCCTGTAAGTCCCAGTCTGAAGACCGACTGCCCCCTCCACTCTTTCCTGACTGCTGCCGGGCCTGGCAGGCGTATTTCTCTCAGTTCTTGGCTGAGTTGCCCACGTGCTGCCACGTGCATTCGCGTCATTAGAATGTGTAACTTTGCTTTCCCCAGTCTGAATGGCGAGGCACTGTTTCTCAGATTCCATCTGGAGAGGTGCCCATCTGTTCTGATGGACACTCTACCTTGCTGACCATTCCTCTGTCTCATGCCTGTATTCTTTCTTGTGAGAAGACAAGAACCTCTATCCCACCCACCTCTGCCAACACACCTACATGTATCATAATCCAACAATCAAAAGATACAAGAAATTTGGAGTAGGCATTTGTGTTAGTGGTGAAGATGCAATTTAAAGGGGACAGCACAATGCCGTAGAGGGTAAGGCCACTGCCTGCAATGCTGGCACAACGCATGGGTGCTGGTTGGTCCCCAGATGGCTCCACTTCCAATCCAGCTCTCTGCTAATGGCCTGAGAGATGCAGCGGAAGATGGCCCAAGTGTTTCAATCACTGCCACCTATGGAGGAGACGTGGACGAAGTTCCTGGCTCCTGGCTTCAGCTTGGCCCAGCACTAGCCATTGCAGCCACCTGGGGAGTGAACCAGTGGTTTGAAGATACCTGTCTCTGTTTCTGTCTTTCCTTCTTTCTCTGTAACTCTTTCAAAATTAATAAATAATTCTTTAGAGAAAAAAAAAGATGGCTCTTAGGACACTACTGTCTCACATCACAGTGCCTGGATTTGATAGCTGGCTCTGCCTCCTGACTCCACATTCCTGCTATTGCACACCCGGGGAACAGCAGTCAGTGATGACTCAAGGCATTGTCATCCCATCGGGAGACCTGGATTGGGCTCCTGGCTTGCAGGTTTGGCCCCAACTCGAGGTGATTGCAGCCATTTGGAGAGTGAAATAGTGGAAGGTGCTAGGGAGTTTATCTCTCTTTCTCTGCCACTCCAATAAATAATTATTTGAATAATGAATCAGGAAAGGAGGAAGAATGTGGGTTATTAACCTCAAAAGGCCTAAAAAATGTTTTCATCAGGTTTTTAAACAGAAGCCCCAGGGTGCAGAAAGCAGGGGGCTGACAATGCCTCTGAGGAAGTGAGGGGGGGCACCTCAGGTATAGGAAAAGAGCTCCAGGCTCCCCCAAGGGCTGCTCAGGGGTAAGCAGAGAGCTGTGAGAACAGTCGCCTGCACACACCCAGCTTCACAGTGGCTCAGGCAGGCCAGAGTCCAAGCGTCTGGGCTGGGCGGTGAGCCAGGTGCTGAGCCTCACAGAGAACAGGGGATCTCATGCTGTGTCTGCGTCGACATGTGTGAGGCCTGTGTGTGCTTGTGAGCATGGGGATGGTGGGAGTGTAGGAGACTGTATGTGTATACATATTTGTGCACATATGTGTGTGAATGTGTAGTATGTGTGAATGTGTATGTGTGTGTGTGTACGTGTATGTGCATGCATGTACCTGTATGTTTGTACAAGTGTGTATGTGTATGAGTCTATATGTGTGTGTATGTGTGTGTGTACCCTAAGGTGTGTCTGCACAGGTAAGTGTGCAGGGTGAGGGACAGGGGACAGGACAACCTCACCCCATCCTGCTGGCTGCCCCAGGGTCCCTCTGATATCTGTGACTTCCCTGAGACCCACCCAATGTAGATGACAAATGGAGAGGTAAAGGACACTTCGAATACAGCAAGAGGGGTGGGGGCAGAGCTAGGACGTGAGCTGGGGGAGATGCTGTAACCACAACAGTGGGTGTGAACCTGGTGGGAGAGGTAGGGACAGGAGCAGATCAGAACCTGGGTCTCCTAGGAGCGACCAGGACCTTGGGGAGTTGGAGGAGGGTAGGGAGTCCTTCTCCTTCACCTGCCAGGCCTCTCCACTTCCACCTGGGCAGTGCAGGGGGAGGGAAAGGACCTTTGTCCTCATGAACTGAGCTACCCTGGCCCCTCCCTGTACCCTCTGGTGGCTGGCAACAAACAAGCAGGCTCAGGGCAGAGGACAAAGGCTTGTTTGAAGCTCCCTTTATAAAGGCACGGCCTGGCCTGGTTGGGCAAGGAGAGGGTGGTGAGAGTGCCAAGCTGGTGCCAGGCAGTGAGCAGCGAGGCAGCCATGGGGCTCCTGTCGGGAGAGGCACTGGCGCCCCTGGCCGTGGCTGTGGCCATCTTCCTGCTCCTCGTGGACCTGATGCACAAGCGCCCACGCTGGGCTGCCCGCTACCCGCCGGGCCCCGTGGGCATACCTGGCCTGGGCAACCTGCTGCAGGTGGACTTCCGAGGCATCCCGAACTGCTTCCGTCAGGTGAGGTGGTGGAGATGGAGGGCGGCAGAGGTGGGGGACCCAGCAGAACAAAGGGAGTGGGTGGATCTTGGGCTGGACAAGGACCGGGTGAGACCAGGAAGCTGGTGTCAGAGGCTTCCAGGGGAAGGGCTCCGAGCGGGCCTGGGACAGTTGGGATTTCCCAAGGCAATGCCTGGGAGGGCAAAGCCCGGGGTGGGGCAGGACTTGGCAGCTTTTAGCCCCTCCCCCCGATGGCACACAGGTTATGCAGGCCCCAGGGCCCCTCTGATTACATCCCAAGGAGAAGGTTGGGGGTCGGGAGCAGGGCCCTGAGCACCACTGGAATCAAGGAACCGAGGCTGATGAGAGATGCCGCAGCCTGGTTCCAGTCTTGTCACTGCTCACCTCTGTGACCCAGGTTCTCTCACCTGTAAAACGGGATGGGTCTGCGCCCCACTGACAATGCTGTGATGCTGGCAAGGCCGTAGCTGGGTGGTGGGGCCCAAAGGGGATCCCTCAACCAGGGGGACAGGACCCCCAGGATCAGGGGGTCACAACTTGCACCTGCCCACATGGGGTCCCCAAGGCTTAGCGGGACAGTGGGACAGGCAGCTCTCGGGGACCTGGGTTTGATGGATGCCTTGACCTTGGCTCTGCAGCTGCGTCGCCGCTATGGGGACGTGTTCAGCCTGCAGCTGGCCTGGACGCCTGTGGTTGTGCTCAATGGGCCGGCGGTGATTCGGGAGGCACTGGTGACTTATGGCGAGGACACCGCGGACCGCCCTCCAGCACACACTTTGGAGCCCCTGGGATTCGGGCCCCATGCCCAAGGCACGTGGAGGCAAGAGATTTGTTAGGGTGAGAGCAGAGGGACCTTGACCATGGATAGCACAAACAGGGGTGGTGACCTAAACTTGGGATCAGAAGGCAGGGACAGTGCAGACCTGGGGTCAACACATCAAGTAGGTGCCTGGGTAACCAAGAGTTTGGGGTGATGGGAACCAGATACGGGGTTGATGGACAGAGTTCAGGGGCAGAATTAGAGGTGGTGCCACCCACTGGCCATGCCCACAAGTCTGCTCTGCCTCCAGGGGTGGTAATGGCGCGCTATGGCCCAGCGTGGCGCGAGCAGCGCCGCTTCTCTGTCTCCACACTGCGCAACTTCGGCCTGGGCAAGAAGTCGCTGGAGCAGTGGGTGACCGAGGAAGCCACCTGCCTCTGTGCCGCCTTTGCCGACCATGCCGGTGGGTGACAGGCTGAGGGCGCTACCGGGCTCTAAGGAGGGTAGCCAGGGGCACCCCTGACCATACCCCCACCCCCAGGATGCCCCTTTAGTCCCAGCATGCTCCTGAACAAAGCTGTGTGCAACGTGATCGCTTCACTCACCCACGGGTGCCGCTTTGAGTATGACGACCATCGCTTAACCAGGCTGATGGACCTGACACAGACCATATTAAAAGAGTCGACTGGGAACTTGCCGCAGGTATGGGGCTAACAGACACTGCAGGCAAGGATTTGCATCCACAGGAGTAGGGAAAGGGCATTCACAGAGAGGCCACAGCAGCAGGTAAAGCGTGGAACCGGGAAATCCCAGACCACAGCCATGGGAGAGGAGCCCAGAGTCCACGGCCCCGGGAGAGGGAAGGAAGCTGTCCCTCAGTAGGGCTGGGTGCCAGGCAGCCCGTGAGATCTGAGTTCAGCTTTGTCTTTGGGCATCCCCGACCAGGACAGGTTCATGGTGGGGATGGGCAGCCTGAGGCACGGCCAGGTGAGCCCGGAGTGCAGGAGACCCCGCCCTCCTCTGAGCAGGTGCTGAACGTGATCCCCATACTCCTGCGCATCCCGGGGTTGGTGGACAAGGTCTTCCGTGGGCAGAAGGCTTTCATGGCTCTGCTGGATGAGCTGGTGACCGAGCACCGCATGACACGCGACCCAGCCCAGCCTCCCCGGGACCTGACGGACGCCTTCCTGGATCAGGTGGAGAAGGTGAGAGGCAACAGCCAGGACAGGTGCAGGGCAGGGGGTTCAGGGTGCTGTGAGGCCCAGCCAGACAAAGTGGGGCCTGTGCATCCCCCTCTACCAGGCCCCTGGCTGCCAGGGACAGAATGGGAGATCATGTGGGGGCTTCTGTCCCTCTGAGCCCACTCCTCTGTCCTGGCCCAGGCCAAGGGAAACCCTGAGAGCAGCTTCAATGATGACAACTTGCGCTTGGTGGTCACTGACCTGTTTGCTGCCGGCATGGTGACCACATCGATCACACTGTCCTGGGCCCTCCTGCTCATGATCCTGCACCCGGATGTGCAGCGTGAGCCGAGCTGGGGCTGAAGGGTTGTGGGTGGGGGAGGAGCAGGCAATGGCCTTTGATCTCAGCCTGGACACCTGGGGTCCCTAGCATGGTTGGCTCCACCTCCTGTGAATGTGACCACCTTGTCATGTGGGCACAGGCCCAGCACAAGACGGAAAAGAGGGTCCATGCTCAGCTCCCAGAGATCCAGTTCACCTTGGGGACGCTTGTCTGTCCAGGCCGGGTCCAGCAGGAGATCGATGAGGTCATAGGGCCGGCGCGGCGACCAGAGATGGGGGACCAGGCGCGCATGCCCTACACCACCGCTGTGGTTCACGAGGTGCAGCGCTTCGCTGATATCATCCCGCTGGGGGTGCCTCACCAGACATCGCGGGACATTGAGGTGCAGGGCTTCCTCATCCCCAAGGTAGGCCGGGCCCCCTCATCCCGGCTCAGCACCCCTGCCCGATCATAGCCCCAGTAGTCCTCCTACAGTGAGACGGATGGAGCCCAGACTGCCCAGCCTCCATGCCCCAGGCACTGACTGAAACACCCTGAGTAGGGTGGGTGCAGAACAGAGGCAGGGCCTGTGTGTAAACACAGAGTCCCTGGGAGCAAGGGGAAGACAAACTAGGATGTGCCACCATGTGTTCTAGATACAAGTGTCCACAGGGACAGGTGGCATCAGGGGTGCCATGGCTGGTGTCACACTTGGCTCTGACATGGCTGAGCAGTACTTGGGCTGAGGGCTCCTTGAAAGAGTCCAGGTGGGTGCAGGTCAGGCCTGGGCCCTGAGAATGGGGTAGGGTCTGAGGTCCTCCCAGCCCAGGCCCCTCTCAGGACAGAAATCCTCTGCCCAGGGCACAGTGCTGTTCACCAACCTGTCATCGGTGCTGAAGGACGAGGCCGTCTGGGAGAAGCCCTTCCGCTTCCACCCGGGACACTTCCTGGACGCCCAGGGCCGCTTCGTGAAGCAGGAGGCCTTCATGCCTTTCTCCGCAGGTGCATGGGGTGCCCGGCTCCTGGCCCTGGCCCTGGGGACAGTGGGAGGATGCAGCCCAGGCTCACTGAGCCCCTGACCCCCCACAGGCCGCCGCGCGTGCCTTGGGGAGCCCCTGGCCCGCATGGAGCTCTTCCTCTTCTTCACCTGCCTGCTGCAGCGCTTCAGCTTCTCGGTGCCCGTGGGACAGCCCCGGCCCAGCGACCAAGGGGCCCCTGCTACCCTGGTGACCCCGGCCCCCTACCAGCTGTGTGCTGTGGCCCGCTAGTGGGGGCACCGAGTCCCCAGCCCACCCCCAGCAGGGCCCTGATGCACAATAAAGCAGTCTCCTGGCTCCCCTGTGGTTTCTGAGTCCACCCTTGGCCCCTGGTGAGCCCCTGATGTCATGGGTGCTCAGCCACCCACCCCTGCTTCATCTGCCTTACCTGTCTTCTGGATTCATCTCAGACCTGGGGCCCCGATACTCATAGAGGACATCTTGCCATGTCCCCCATTGGCCGCACTCTGGATGTGTGTTGGTGACCAAGGTCGTGCAGCAATCTTGGCTCTGAGTGTGGGGAGCAGCAGGTGTGTGCATGGGCGTCTGTGTGGCATCAGCCTCAGCTCTGGCTGGAGAGAGTGTGGGGTCCCCATACCTCCCTCAGGCTCTGTGATTTGCTAGAAGCCCTCCCAGAACTAGGAATGCTGTCGTCCTCACTGTGATGGTTTATTCCAGCCAAGGGACGTGTTCGGAATTCTGGGGAGGGGCTCCTGGGGCCACATCCATCCAGGGCAGACATGAGCTTGTACCGATCCTTCCTGGAGGACTCATCCTGACAGGACTTGGTGCTCCCAGCACCGCTGTGTGACAGGCACAGAGAGGCAGGGGGCCAGGCAGTTCCCTGGGCTGTTTCCAGGGCTGTGCTGGGGATTGGTCACAAGGCTGAGCTCAGTGACACAGGCCTGCAATCACCATTGGTCACATCGTCAGCCTCGACTGTGGTGCAGTCCAGGTCGCAGGCACGAGAAGGCCCTGTGGTCAGGGAGGGCAGTCCAAGGCTGCAGGGGTGCTTCCCAGCGTCCCGTGCGGAGTCAGTGTCTCAGTGTGGGACGTGGGGCTGAACTCCTCCACCTGCTGCACCGCCCCACTCTGCACATCCAGCAAGGTGGTGTGTGTCTTGGCACATCTCTGTCCTCGTTGGTGCGGTGCTGGGCGCTCTCAGCCGTTTGCAGCTGTGCCGTGCGTGCTGGGTGGGCACACTGCTCGTGTGCAGCTGTCATCCCAGAACTCTCTTCAGCAGCAAACCTGACCTCTCACTGTCACACTGTAACTCAGCTCTCCACCTCCCCGCGCCCAGCAGCCTCGTGGGCACCCTGGTCTGTGAACCTGACCACTAGAGGGCAGTCGTGCACGGGGACCCACACTCCAGGGGGCTTGGGCGCATTTCCTGTAGCCTCAGGTAGCCTCATGGATGTGTCCTAGGAGCAGTCTGTATCTGTCATTACAAAAGGAATTATTTCATTTATTTCTATGGCAGCTTGGGGGATGATATGGCTTCAGTGGCCCTGTTGGACCTGACCTAAGCCAGCAGCCTGGAACTCCATCCTGTCTCCCTTGTGGGTGGCAGGGGCTCCAGTACTTGGGCCCTGTTAAGCTCTTTCGCAGGTGCATTAGCAGGTAGCTGGATCAGATGTGGAGCTGCCAGGACTCAAAGTGGCTCAGGTTCGGGATGCCAGCTTTTCAAGAGTGACCAGTACCACAACGCCAGTCCATTTCTGTCCTTTTGAATCCAGATGACATTCCATTGTATAGATATGCTGGGCTATGTTTTTATATATCTTTGCAGTATCCTGATGGTTTGCTATGTGAATAGATCAGGCTATTAAAATTCACGGTGGACAGAGTGAGCTCCTTTTACCATGGTTTCTGGTGAAAATGGATGTATGCAGCCCTCTTGTCATCTCTGGGGCAGTAGAAGACCCCAGACTCCAAGCTAACCATGGCCCGGCACCCGTCGGCCCTGCCAGCTCCTGTGTGCCTCGGAGCCCCTTGTTCAGATTCCACCCGGGCGCGAGGTGTGCAGCCCTCCATGGTTGGAAATGCCTGCGTGCCGTCCTTCCTTGTGGCGGGATGGGATTCCACATGTGGCTGTGCCGTGCTGTCCTCAGTCCCCCAGCTGGTATCCATTTCCTGGGTACGGTGACCTATGCTGCAGTAACATGGGAGCACGGCTGTGCCTCCCACAAGCCATGTCGGATCCTCCGGCTGCATCCCTGCAACGTTATGTGATAGCTGTGTTTTCACACTGTTGAGTGACTTCCATCCTTACACAGAGCTGGGCTACCTTGTACTCCTGCCAACAGCGTGAGCAGCTCCCTTTTCTCCACGTCATCATCACTGCTTGTTCTCTTTTGACTTTTTTATGACTGATTGATTGATTTGAAAGTCAGAATTACAGTGAGAGAATATGAGAGAGAGAGAGAATCTTGCATCCACTTGTTCAATTTCCAGATGGCCACAATGGCCCAGGCTGAGCCAGGAGCCAGGAGCTTCTTCCAGGTCTCCCACATGGGTACAGGGGCCCAAGCACTTGGACCATCTTCTGAGGCTTTCCCAGGCCCAGTAGCAGGAAGCTGGATCAGAAGTGCAGCAGCTGGGACTCGAACCAGCACCCGTATGGGATGCCAGCACTTCAGGCACCAGCTTTACCCACTACGCCACAGCGGCAGCCCCCAAAGGCTCCCTTCATTGATGGCCTCCTGCACGGGACTGGGGGTTGGTCTTGCAGAGCTAGAAGTCCGTGCTCAAAGAGCCTTGGTGCCATGGTACCGTTAGTGGACATGCTGGAGTAGGTTCTTGTCTCCATGCAAAAAAGAGTCTTGCTGTAAGACAGAAAACAGCAATAAATGAGAAAAATACATCTGGCAAAACTAGGTTCTTGTCTCTATGCAAAAAAGAGTTCTGATGTAAGACAGAGAACTATGGGGGCTGGCATGGTGGTGTAGCGGGTAAAGCTGCCACCTGCAGGACCGGAATCCCATGTGGGCGCCGTTTGGTGTTCTGGTTGCTCCTCTTCTGATCCAGCTCCCTGCTGATGGCCTGGGAAAGCAGTGGAAGATGGCCCAAGCCCTTGTGCCCCTGCACACGTGTGGGAGAACTGGATGAAACTCCTGGCTCCTGGCTTCGGATCAGCTCCAGCTGTTGCAGTCATTTGGGGAGTGAACCAGCCGATGGAAGACCTCTGCTTCTGCCTCCGTAACTCTTTCTTTCACATAAATAAATCTTGAGAGAGAGAGAGTGAGAGAGAGAACTATGGTAAACAAGGTTACATGGTTTAATGGGAGAAAATACAGCTGGCAGGCCAGGTAGTCAGCTCAAAGGCAGAGAAGTGAGCACACAGCCTGTGCCCACACTGGGCTTATCAGGGACTGGAGTCCAGTTGTTTCTCCTTCCCTACTCCCTTTCCTCGGGACAAAGAGTTTCCTGAGTGGTAATTAAGTAAAATGACCTCAAGAATAGCAAAAGGCTGTATCTTACTTACCTGAGCCTCTGGCCTTGAGACTTGTAATTGGATCCATAAAACTGTCAAATGATAAACACGGCATAAAATTGACATCGTTTTTTTCATAACCTAAAACCCATCATCAGGTTATAAAACCAAACTTCTGTTGTACTTGTATAAGGGCCTAGGGGGCTAAACGCCACTTCCCTCCCCTCTGGCTATAGTTTCTTTGAAAAGAGAGAGAGAGAGGGAGAGAGAGGCAGTTTAAACTTTTCTTCCTCTCTTTGGTTTGTGGTGTGTTAACTCCACCCCTTTGCTGAGAGAGACTCTGTCTCTCAGCCTGGGGCAGTGACACTTAAAAGTCTCCTAGAATGTAAGCTAGCAATCTCCAGTGGGCTCCTCGCCCACCTGTGTAGCTACTGCTCGGCCCTGTCACCCTGGGACCTGTCTTGCAGTTGCCTGAACACAAGTTTCTTTTAGACAGTCCCAGGTACCTGACTGTTGATGAGGTGTCATCCCAAAGCGCTTGTTAGAGGAAACACTAGGCTCAGATTCAATCTAAAATCTAAAGAGACATACGTATCTATCTCACACATAAAAATGCCAGCGTAGGGGTTGGTGCTGTGGTGTAGCGGATGAAGCCACCGCCTGCAGTGCAAAGCATCCCACATGGGCGCCGGTTCAAGTCCCGGCTGCTCCACTTCCCATCCAGCTCTCTGCTGTGGCCTGGGAAAGCAGTGGAAGATGGCCCAGGTGCTTCGGCCCCTGCACCCATGTGGGAGACCCGGATGGAAGACTTCTCTCTCTCTAACTCTGCCTTTCAAATGAGTAAATCTTTAACAAATAGATAAATAAAATGTACTGATACAAATGTCTAAAGTTACAAGTCTAATGATCTTGTTGCGTTGTTATCAGTCACAAAGGTTATCTTAGTAAAGAGTCCTAAAGGCCTAAAAGAGATAAATGTTTTATGAAGTCCTACAGGTACCTTCTAAAATACTATGTAAACAAGTGCCTCTTGTCAATAATATTCCTTTTTAAAAAAAGGTTTACTTAGGGGCTAGCACCATGGTTCACTTGGTTAATCCTCTGCCTGCGGCACCGGTATCCCATATGGGCACTGGGTTCTAGTCTTGGTTGCTCCTCTTCTGGTACAGCTCTCTGCTGTGGCCCAGGACGGCAGTGGAGGATGGCACAAGTGCTTGGGCGCCTGCACTCACGTGGGAGACCTGGAGAAAGCACTTGGCTCCTGGCGTCGAATCGGTGTATCTCCAGCCGTAGCGGCCATTTGGAGGGTGAACCAATGGAAGGAAGACCTTTCTCTCTCTCTCTCTCTCTCTCTCTCTCACTAACTCTAGCTGTCAAAAAAAAAAAGTTTACTTATTTATTATTTGAAAGGCAGAGTCACAAAGGCTTCCTCTGACAACTACAGAGGGAAACTCAGAAAGGAAATTTTCGTATTTACACCGAACAAGTCCTTTGTTCTGGAGGAGAAGAAGGAGATGGGAAGAGAAAAGGCAAGAAGGCGAGACCCATCCCTTAAAAAACCCCAGCCTAAATGTGAACTAGGCACTCTCTCTCCTTACTCTAATAAACTTTGCTACTTTGCTTTGCTTTCCACTGCTCCCTGTCTCACGGCTGAATTCTTACTTGCACAAAGACAAGGACCCTCAGCTTTTTCTCCAGTGACAATAGCAGAGAGCTGGATGAGAAGCAGAGCAGCTGGGTCTCGAACTGGTGTCCATATGGGATGCTGGCACTACAGGTGGCAGCTTTACCTGTTACACCACAGTGTCAGCCCCAATATTCTCTCTCTCTCTCTCTTTTTTTTTTTTTTTTTCCCGACAGGCAGAGTTCGACAGTGAGAGAGAGAGAGAGAGAAAGGTCTTCCTTTTCCGTTGGTTCACCCCCCCAAATGGCCGCTACCACCAGAGCACTGCACCGATCCAAAGCCAGGAGCCAGGTGCTTCCTCCTGGTCTCCCATGCGGGTGCAGGGCCCAAGCACTTGGGCCACGACAGAGAGCCGGACTGGAAGAGGAGCAACTGCAACAGAATCCGGCGCCCCAACCGGGACTAGAACCCGGGGTGCCGGCGCCACAGGTGGAGGATTAGCCAAGTGAGCTGCGGCGCCGGCCACCAATATGCTCTTAATAAGAGGTTTCAACCCTCTAAAAGAAAACCAGGCTATTCATAAAAATTAAAATATTGTTGGGTCTGTATTTAAATATTTCCTCTTCTAGGTCCCCCCCCCAAAAAAAAACACCCCTTTTTCCATGACTCCTATTGTTTTTGGTAATTTGGGACAGCTCTGTAAATAGATACAAACTAAAATTTAATAATAAACTACAGATTCCAACTGAAAGGGTGTGGTTAATCTAGGTTACTAAAACAAAAGGTAATTCTAATCAATAAATGGTAATTTTTTTTTTATTTTTTTGACATGTAGAGTGGACAGTGAGAGAGAGAGACAGAGAAAGGTCTTCCTTTGCCGTTGGTTCACCCTCCAGCACACTGCGCTGATCCGATGGCAGGAGCCAGGAGCCAGGTGCTTCTCCTGGTCTCCCATGGGGTGCAGGGCCCAAGCACCTGGGCCATCCTCCACTGCACTCCCGGGCCATAGCAGAGAGCTGACCTGGAAGAGGGGCAACCAGGACAGAATCCGGCGCCCCAACCAGGACTAGAACCCGGTGTGCCGGCGCCGCTAGGCGGAGGATTAGCCTAGTGAGCCGTGGCGCTGGCCTTAATTTTTAAAAGTTAAAAAATGGTTACTAACACTTTTATAGTTTAGTCTTGTAATATATGTTATACATACGTTATACGTATGCAGGTTGCATGTCTATGTAAAAAATTATTAAAAACTGTTTTGACTGGCTTGTAGATTAAAAAAAAAGCAGTCATATAAGGCTGCTAAATTAACACAAAGTACCTTTTTGGTACATGTGACTTCAATACATCTCTGATAAGCAGACTGTTCTAAATTTGTTGGTAGAGAAAAACTAAAAATGTTTTCTCAAGTCATTGACATGTTTGTGTTTGGGTTTGCTGGCCAAGCACCCTGCGCTTGGGTTAGGTATTTACAATCATACAAGTACAACAGTGATTTAAAATAATATAAAAAAAAGGTAAAATACAGTGCTCACTGCTCTCTATGAAGTCCAGTTTAAAGTTATCCTTTGACAAATTACTAACACCAAATTTATAGGCAGGTTAGGTAAACCGATCATCATGTTTCAGTCTTATCTGAAAGACATAGCTTTCCTCCCGGGTGTGGTTCTGTCTCACAGGAAAAGCTGTCTAAACACGCCCGTGACCTCGTAGCTTGGCCACCACAGGCTGAGGATGGAACTGAACAGCCCTGACTGATATCCTAGAGGCTGTCTCAGTGCTCTACTTCAGCAGAGACCAAGAAAGAAACAACGAGTTAGGCAGCAGGAGCAATGTACAGCCAACCAATGGCCACTGTCCCCAGTGTCCTGCCGTCAAAGACCCAGCGAGGCCAGCCCACCCCGCACGGCGTCAGGTGTCCATATGGAAAGCCGAGAGATGGGGCAATAGCCGTCCTGACCAAAGCCAGCCTCTCCAAAATCCTGGCAGGAGCTGGGTAGGTGGAACTGCCCTGGGCCCAAAGGGCTTCCTGCTTAGAACCACAGACCCGCCGGCACCGTGGCTCAATAGTCTAATCCTCTGCCTGCAGCGCTGGCACACGGGGTTCTAGTCCTGGTCAGGGCACCGGATTCTGTCCCGGTTGCCCCTCTTCCAGGCCAGCTCGCTGCTGTGGCCTGGGAGTGCAGTGGAGGATGGCCCAAGTGCTTGGGCCCTGCACCCCATGGGAGACCAGGAGAAGCACCTGGCACCTGCCTTCGGATCAGCGCAGTGCGCGGGCCGCGGCGGCCATTGGGGGGTGAACCAACGGCACAGGAAGACCTTTCTCTCTGTCTCTCTCTCTCTCTCTCTCTCTCTCACTGTCCACTCTGCCTGTTTAAAAAAAAAACACACACACACTCACACAACACAAACCGTAGACCCTGCTGGCTCCATGCTGGAAAAGTCCTTTACCTCGCCCAGTCTCCCAGGGGCAGGCCTAGGGTCACACATGGCAGGACTGGGCCCTTCCTCTCGAATTCACTGCCTGTTCTGTACTCCCCTACTGCCAGGCCGGCTAGGTAATGAGAGCCGACAGGATGTCCTTCTAAGGAAGTTCTGGCCTACCCGCCTCCCTCAGTGAGAAAACGCCCTCCTGGTTTAGACAGCACCCCTCCTAGGCACTCTGCAATGATTCAGCCTTTTTGTTTCAGATCCTGTTGGATTTAACTTGCTTGTTGGATCTGTTTGCTCCAGACTTACAAAGCCACTAACGGGTTGGGGGGAGACCTTCAACAGATAGAACAAGCCCCCCAAATAAGAGACTGGTGCTTCTTCCCTCAAAAAGTTCACCAGGGACGCTGCTTCAGGCACTCCGGAAACTGGCTGATTCACGCCTGGTCGAAGCTTGAGGAATCAGCTGCCCTATACAATAAATGGACCCATCCTTTTTCTGCCTCTTTGTATTGGTTTTAAAATTTTAATCTAAATCACTGTTGTATACACATAAAAAGGACAAGATCATAAAAAAATGATCAAATGAGGAAGCTCCCCCATGTCCTGGTCTAGACTGCTTGGAGGATGGTTTTTAGTGGATTCAAATCTCTCCTACGTGCTATGGTTATAATGTTAGGGGTCTCTCTGACTTTTCCTTGTCTTGTGCCCTCGTTTATGAAATATGTCTCTAACTACGTGAAGACCCTGGTCGGGAAAACAAACAGCTACGCATGTCACACTGCTGTCTGACCCGAAGGGTTCTGAGCATCAAGGTGGGGCTGTGGCAGAGGCCTCTGTCTTAACCAGGCTCAGCTCTGCCGTGATTGCAGCTGTGGCAGAGGCCTTCCCAGGTCGGAAGCAGAAGGCGACATCTGTCCTGCGAATGCTATGCGGTCTTTATCTGCTGTGGTCCCTGTCTACGGCTCTGCAGCCACTTCAGGAGCTGCGTGTAGTACAGAGCAATGATGTTAACCCTTGCCAGACCGCAGAAGGCTCAGTTTGTGTGAAAAAAAAAAAAAGAAAGAAAGAAAGAAAAACTCCTCAGTAACTACATTCACACGCCCAGTACTGTTTCAACCCACCATGTCACATTAGAACACCCAACAAGAGGCCAGCACTGTGGCATAGCGGTTAAAGCCCTGGCCTGAAGCGCCGGCATCCCATATGGGTGCCAGTTCTAGTCCCGGCTGCTCCTCTTCCGATCCAGCTATCTGCTAGGGCCTGGGATAGTGGTGGAAGATGGCCCAAGTCCTTGGGCTCCTTGGGCCCCTGCACCCACATGGGAGACCCAGAAGAAGCTCCTGGCTCCTGGCTTCAGATTGGCACAGCTCCAGCCATTGTGGCTATCTGGGGAGTGAACCAATGGATAGAAGACCTCTCTCTCTCTACCTCTCTCTGTAACTCTGTCTTTCAAATAAATAAAATCAATCTTAAAAAAAAAAAAAAAAAGAATACACAATCAAATGCATGCAAGTAGCTATATAAGTGAGACAAAAAGACTAAAACCATATAGAAGGGAAAATGCTTCTTTGTTCAGGGCTCAGGATTTGGGCTAAGAAATTCCACCTGGGCCTTATGCCCATATAAGAAAAGACTGTCCTTTTAAGAAGCCTTGGTGTCTTGATTTTGAATCCTGCCTGCTACACTCGCAGCTGGCGATGCAATCCAGGGCGTCAGGGAGTGAACTGCCTGAGCCGTCCCTGCTGCCTCCCAGGCTGTGCATTGTGGGGAAGCTGGAGTCAGGAGCAGGAGCTAGCAATGACGCCCAGCTCTGCTGGAGTGGGGCGCAGCAATCTGGGCTTCCAGCAGCCATGCTCGTTCCCAATGTCTGTTTCATTTTTGCAAAGTTGTATTTATTTGAAAGGCAGAGTAGCAGAGAGATGGAGAGAGAGAGAGAGAGAGAGAGAGAGAGCTCTTCCATCTGCTGGTTCACTACCCAAATGACCACAACAGCCAGGGATTTTCCAGGCCGATGCCAGGAGCTTCTTCAGGGTCTCCCACGTGGGCGACAGTGGGAACAGGGCATAAGCACTTGGACCACCTGCTAGTGTCTTCCAAGGTACATTAGCCAGGAGCTGGATCAGAAGTGGGGCAGCCAGGACTTGAATTGGTGCCCATTTGGGATGCCGACATCAGTCTGTGACCTGACCTGCTAGGCCAGAATGCCAGGAACTGTGAAGAAAGACTGGCCGAGCTTCCCAAAGCAAACGGACAATCATCTCCATATGCAAGAAATTCCGGGTGCCAGGCAGGACTGACTCAGCTCTGCACACTCAATCCCGCCATCAAGACTCAGAGAATTTCATTTAAAAAAAAAAAAAAAAAGATTGAGGAGCTGGCGCTGTGGTATAGCAGGTAAAGCTGCTGCCTGCAGTGCCAGCATCTCATATGGGTGCTGATTTGAGTCCCAGCTGCTCCACTTCCCATCCAGCTCTCTGCTACGACCTGGGAAAGCAGTGGAAAATGGCCCAAGTCCTTGGGCTCCTGCATCCGTGTGAGAGACCCAGAAGAAGCTCTTGGCTTCTGGCTTCGGATCAGCTCTGTTCTGGCCGTTTGTGGCCTTTTGGGGAGTGAACCAACAGATGGAAGACTTCTATCTCTCTCTGTAACCCTGTCTTTCAAATAAATTAAAAAAAAAATTTATTTGCTTGAAAGGCAGAGCAACTGGGCCTGGGAGAGACAGAGAAAAAGAAAGAGAGCAAGCTCTTCTCCACTGGTTCTCCAGGGCTCCCAAATGGGAGGCAGGGGCCCAGATGGGATGCCGGTGCTGCAGGCCACAGCTTCATTTGCTTGGCCACAGGCCCAGGGCTAGAGCCGCAGAGCGTTTCCGGGGCAGCAGGAAGGAATGCACTTGTCACGAGGAAGGCCCCGCACCCACGCAGCCATGTTACAATCAGGTTTCCCATCGGAAACTGCAGAGACCAGAGGCCAGCGGCGGCCTGGACAGCTTCCAAGAGCACCGCGGACTTCCCAAGCGGCGGAAGGAGAGAGGTGTGTTTAGCTCACGGCTGTGAAGACAGCGGGTCAGACAGCACTCCCGAGGGCTTCAGAGCTCACAGCAGTGCACGATTCCAGAGCCCGCGGGGCAGGAGACCAGCGCGGGAGCAAGACGCCGAGAGAGCTGGGGCCGGCACTGGCCCGTCATTCCCTGGCTCTCCAAGGAGCTTAGGCAGGTCTGGGGCGTCTAGTAAGAGGCCTCCTGTCAGGTCCCTGCCACCCCCGCCCTGGGTAGGCCCGTGAAGAGGAGGAGCAAGGACCTCTGTGGCCGCCCATGAACCTGGCCGCCCTGGCCACTCCCTGTACCCTGTGGCAGCACCATCAACACAGCAGTTGGCTCCCAGCAGAGGTCAAAGGCCGATCTGGGCTCCCATACTAAGAGAACAGCCCGCACCTGGGGAGCACGGAGAGTGTGCTTAGATTGTCCTGCCTAGTCCCTGGTGCCTGGGGGACTGGGGTGGGACAGGTATAGCCAGAGGAGGCAAGATATCAACAAGACAGCCATGGGGCTCCTGACCGGAGACGTCTTGGTATCCCTGGCCATGGCCATGGCCATCTTCCTGCTCCTGGTGGACCTGATGCACCGGCGCCAGCGCTGGGCCGCACACTACCCACCAGGCCCCATGGCACTGCCGGGCCTGGGCAACTTACTGCAGGTGGACTTCCGGGACCCACGGAGGAGCTACCACCAGGTGAGAGAGGGGTGGTGTAGGCAGAGAGGACCTGGGCTCCATGCAGCTGACGGTGGGGGAGGGTGACCCCAGGGGAGGACACTGCCCTGACCCTGGCTCTGCAGCTGCGGTGCCGCTACGGGGACGTGTTCAGCCTGCAGCTGGCCTGGACGCCAGCGGTCGTGCTCAATGGACTGGCAGCTGTGCACGAGGCACTGGTGACCTGCAGCGAGGACACTGCGGACCGCCCGCCCATGCCCATTTTCAACCACCTGGGCTTTGGGCCACGCTCCCAAGGCAAGGAGTGGCGAGGAGATGGGGTCTGGGGGGTCTGGGGGAGGATGACTAATCAGGACAAGGACTAATGGGGGCTGTGAGAACAGAACCAGCGAGGGGCACAGGTGACCAGGAGGTTGGGCAGGTGGGGCACCCGGCCCTGGGGGAGACACAGGGGGCATGAGCAGGGGTGGGCCCAATCCTTGGTCAAGCCTACCACTCTGCCCCACCCCCAGGGGTGATCATGGCGCCCTACGGACAGGCCTGGCGGGAGCAGCGCCGCTTCTCCATGTCCATGCTGCGCACCTTTGGTCTGGGCAAGAAGTCTCTGGAGCAGCGAATGACTGAGGAGGCCGCCTGCCTCTGTGCTGCCTTCGCCAACCATGCCGGTGGGTGATGGGCCAAGGGACGCAGGCAGGCAAGGGGCAGGGAGCTAAGGGTGACCCCTGACTACATCCCCACCCCCAGGACGCCCCTTTAGCCCCAACGCGCTGCTGAACAAAGCCGTGGGCAACGTGATCGCCTCGCTCACCTTCGGGCGCCGCTTCGAGTATGACGACCCGCGCTTCGTCAGGCTGCTGCACCTGACCAAGACCGTGCTGGAGGAGGATTCTGGCACAGTGCCCTCGGTGCGGGCTCAGACACTGCGGGCGAGGATTTGCATCCATGCGGGTGGGGCAGGGGCTTCCCGGAGTGGCCACCTTGGAAGGAAAGACCTGGAGCTGGAAGGCCTGGAGCTGGGACATCCCAGACCCCAGCATGCGGCAGGCCCCAGGGCAGCCCCCACACCAGGATGAGGAAACCGTGCGTCCTGTGGGCCTTGGGAGCCACGCAGCACAGCGTTGGTGGACTTTATCTGTGTCCTACATTCCAGAAGAGCAGGGGCACCCAGCTGGGGAGAGCGGGTCACTGGGTCCACCAGGAGGGCGCTGCACCTGGGGCTGGTCTAGGTGAGCTCTGAGCACAGGGAGACCCTACCCTCCTATGAGCAGGTGCTGAACGTGGTCCCCGTGCTCCTGCGCATCCCGGGCTTGGTGGACAAGGTCTTCTCTGGGCACAAGGCCTTTGGGGACATGCTGCTTGAGCTAGTGACCGAGCACAGGATGACACGGGACCCCACCCAGCCACCCCGAGACATGACGGACGCCTACCTGGCCGAGGTGGAGAAGGTGAGAAGATGAATGGAAGGGCGAGGGCAGGGACGGTGAGGCCCCGCGTGTCCTGGGGGTACCTGGGTGCCGCACAACAGTCTAGGACTCGGGCTGCCAAGTAGAGAAAATGTGGTCATCTGGGGCCTCCTCCCTCTGCCCCTGAGCCCACGCTCTCTCCCCACCCAGGCCAAGGGGAACCCTGACAGCAGCTTCAGTGATGAGAACCTCTACTCGGTGATTGGTGAACTGTTTATCGGGGGGACGGTGTCCACGTCGGCCACACTGGTCTGGGCACTCCTGCTCATGATCCTGCACCCGGAAGTGCAGCGTGAGCCAGCTGGGGGCAGCTGTGGAGGGTGGGGCTGGGTGAGGGAAGAGCAGGCAGTCCCCTGAGCCACACCTGTGGCCCCAAGCACTGGTTGGCTCTGCCTCCTGTGACCTCCTTGTATGTGGGCACAGGCACAGCACAGGAGGCAGCAGAGTCTGTGCTCAGCTCAAAGGGAACTGACTTGCTATGGGACGCTTGTCTGTCCAGGCCGTGTCCAACAGGAGGTAGATGAGGTCATAGGGCCGGCGCAGCAACCAGAGATGGGGGACCAGGCACGCATGCCCTACACCACTGCCGTGCTTCACGAGGTGCAGCGCTTCGCAGACATCGGCCCACTGGGCACACCGCACATGACATCACGGGACACTAAAGTGCAGGGCTTCCTCATCCCCAAGGTAGGCCGGGCCCCCTCATCCCGGCTCAGCACCCTTGCCCACTGGTGGCCCCAGCACATCCTCCTACAGTGAGTGGATGGAGCCCAGGCCACCCAGCCCTCCATGCCCAAGGTGCTGACCAGCCCACAGCCCAGGCTGGGTTGGGTGGGTGCAGAGCAGAGCCAGGACCCTTGTGTCCACACAGAGCCTCGGGAGCATGGGGAAGACAAACTAAGATGTGCCACCACATGTCCTAGGAAGTGCCTGCAGGGACAGGCAGCATCAGGGGTGCCATGGCTGGTGTCACACTTGGCTCTGACGTGGCTGAGCAGTACTTGGGCTGAGGGCTCCTTGAAAGAGTCCAGGTGGGTGCAGGTCAGGCCTGGGCCCTGAGAATGGGGTAGGGTCTGGAGTCCTCCCAGCCCAGGCCCCTCTCAGGACAGAAATCCTCTGCCCAGGGCACAGTGCTGTTCACCAACCTGTCATCGGTGCTGAAGGACGAGGCCGTCTGGGAGAAGCCCTTCCGCTTCCACCCGGGACACTTCCTGGACGCCCAGGGCCGCTTCGTGAAGCAGGAGGCCTTCATGTCTTTCTCCGCAGGTGCATGGGGTGCCCGGCTCCTGGCCCTGGCCCTGGGGACAGTGGGAGGATGCAGCCCAGGCTCACTGAGCCCCTGACCCTCCACAGGCCGCCGCGCGTGCCTCGGGGAGCCCCTGGCCCGCATGGAGCTCTTCCTCTTCTTCACCTGCCTGCTGCAGCGCTTCAGCTTCTCGGTGCCCGCGGGACAGCCCCGGCCCAGCGACCACGGCATCTTTGCTACCCTGGTGACCCCGGCCCCCTACCAGCTGTGTGCTGTGGCCCGCTAGTGGGGGCACCGAGTCCCCAGCCCACCCCCAGCAGGGCCCTGATGCACAATAAAGCAGTCTCCTGGCTCCCCTGTGGTTTCTGAGTCCACCCTTGGCCCCTGGTGAGCCCCCGATGTCATGGGTGCTCAGCCACCTGCCTGAGGCCACCCCCACCCCTGCCTCATCTGCCTTACCTGTCTTCTGGATGCATCTCAGACCTGGGACCGCGATGCTTAGCCTGCCACATCCTCCCATGAGCCTCACCCCTGTACTGTGTTGGTGACCACGGTCGTGCAGCAGTCTTGGCTCTGGGTCTGGGGAGCAGGAGGAGGGTGCATGGGCGATGTGGGGCATCAGCCCTGGCCCTGGCTGGAGAGAGTGTTGGGGTCCCCAGACCTCCCTCAGGCTCTGTGATTGGCTGGAAGCCCCCCCAACCTGGAACACTGTCGTCCTCACTGCTGTGGTTTAGTATAACCACAGGACACAGACGCAAGTCAGCAACGGGAACAGGCGCACAGGGCCAGATCCACCAAGACCAGCCCCGAGCTTGCAGGCGGTCTCTCCCAGGATGCTCAGCGAGACAGGGCTTGGTGCTCCCAGCACTGTTTTGTGGCAAGTGCTGAGAAGGCCAAGAGCCCGCACAGCTGCCCAGCACCTACAGCTCAGGGTTTTGCTGGGGGTCAGTTATGTGGACATGGAGCTGATGTCAGTTCCCCAGGTTCCAGCCTTCCTCCTCACCCTGGAGGTCACAGTGACACAGCCCAGGGCCCCAGCCCAAGGACACATGGTGGGCATCAACTCCATGGTATGGTCAAGACTCCAGGCATGGGAAGGCCCTGTGGTCAGGAGGGCAGTCCTAGGTCCCTGGGCATGTTTCCCAGCTGCCTGTGTAGAGTCCATGACTTCTCGAGGAACGTGGGGGTTGGACCTCTGCTACTGCACATACCCTCAGCTCTTACTCAGAACAGTCCTTTCTTGGAGCATCCATGTTCTTGTTTACAATGTAGTGAAACCTGTATCGTGAAAGTTATGCTGTTGGGGGGCTGGCGCTTTGGTGTAGCGGGTAAAGCCACCCCTGCAATGCCGGGATCCCATATGGGTGCTAGTTCCAGTTCTGGCTGCTCCACTTCCAATCCAGCAAGCTGCCATGGCCTGGGAAAGCAGTAGAAGACAGCCCAAGCCCTTTGGGCCCCTTACCTGCGTGGGAGACCCAGAAGAGGCTTCTGGCTCCTGGCTTCAGATCAGCCCATCTCCAGCTGTTGCAGCCATTTGGGGAATGAACCAGAGGATGGAAGACCTCTCTCTGCCTTTGCCTTTGCCTTTGCCTCTCTATAATTCTGCCTTTCAAATAAATAAATAATAGAAAAGAAAGTTATGCTGTTGGAACAGTGGAAAAATCCAGGTAAACAGGTTGACTAGTGGTGTTCAGATGTGCGTTGCTATGCCTTCTTATCTGTGCCTCCATGGCAACTGGGCAGGTCCTGGTGATAGATGCATTTTCTGCTAATGGCCGTTACTGTGTGACCCTGTAGAAAAGGAGCCAGCCCTTGAGGGCTGCTGCTGTGTTCCGGTCAGCTACGCTGCCTCATTTTCTCCCTGAATAAGGACGACCCATCCGCCTACAGCTCCGTGCGTGTTCTTTCAGCTCCCAGCCCTGCGTGCCAGGGCCCTGGTGATGGAGCAGTGGGTCAGGCGGCCACTTGTGATGCCAGCATCCCATAATGAAGTGCAGTTTCAAGCCCAGACTCTTAGGCTTCTGCTCCAACTTCCTGCTAATGGTACCTCTGTCATTTTTTTAATTCTTAAAGATGAGATTTATTTATTTATAAGGCCAAGTGACAAAGATGGAGAGGGAGAGAGAGAGAGATCTTCCATCTGTTGGGCTACTCCCTAAATGCCATGGTGGCCAGGGCTGGGCCAAACCAAAGCGAAGAGCAAGAGCCGGGAGCTCCATCTGGCTCTCCCTTGTGGATGGCAATGGCAGGAGCACTTGAGCCATCAACCTCTGCTTTTCCAGGTGCATTGGCAGAGATTGGATTGGAAGTGGAGCAGCCCAGACTCAAACCAGCACTCTTAAGAGATGCTGGTGTTGCCAGTGTTACCTTAATCCACTGCCCCACAACACCAGTCTCGGTTCGTATTTCACTTAACGAGGTGACCTGCACATAGCAGTAAATGGCAGGTTTCCATCCTCTTGTGTAGCTGAGCGGTCTTCCAGCTGTGTCCGAGCCACATTTCTTTCACCCTCAGGGGTGCTCTCCTGGGCTGCGTGCTTGTGCATTTTGTGGCAATCGTGCCGCAGCAGACACGGCAGTGCAGCTGGCTCTTTAACGGGTGTAACGGGTGTTTCCATTTCCTTTGCACGTGCACCTGGAGTAAGATTACTGGAGCGTGTGCAAGTTCTATCTGGAACATTCTGAGGCGCCTCCACATTCCCAACAGCTAGCTCTAAGTCTTTCCTTTCTCCACAGCCTGGCTGCGACCTGTGATCCTTTGTCTTTTGAGGAAAATCCTTTCTAACCAAGAGTGTGGTCGAATTTCAGGTGGCCTTGATGGGCACTTCCCTGGTGACTGGTGATGCTGAACATTCTTCTCATAGCTGTTGGACACTGGTGTGTCTTCCTATGAAAAATGTCTGTGCTATCTATTGTCCATCACTTGTTAACCATCAGAGAGAGACCTCACAGAGAAGAAAGACGGAAGGCCCTCAGCACAGTGGCCCCTGCTCCTGGGGTCCCAACCTGAAGACCCTCGAGCTAAGTACACGTGCGCATGGGTGTCAGGGACCCCGCTACTGGAGCCGAGATCTGCTGCCTCTCAGCGTGCACGTTAGCAGGAAGCTGTGACTGGGAGCAGATCTGGGACAGAATGGGTTAGGCTGCTGCCTAACTTAAGCTGCTGAGTCAGATCCCTGCCACCGCCGTTTTGTAAATGGGCTTTTCCCTGTCAGTGAGCTGACTGCCTCACACGTTCTCATGATGAACTCCTTGCCTGTGTGCTGTTCACACTGCTTTCTCCCATTCTTTGGGTTTTCTTTCCACTCTGTTGACTGTTTCCTTTGCTGTGCAAAAACCTTGTGGCTTGATCAAATCCCACTTATCCTTTTGCTTTTGTTTCCTGTGCTTCTGGGGTCTTCTCCATGTACTGTTTGTCCACTGGAATGCCCTGAGATCACTCCCCTGCTGGAGTTCAATTTGCAAATGTAGGGATCTGGTTTCACTCTTCTGCAGTGCACTTCCAGGTGTCTGCAGTGCAAGCTCTGCGAACCACTTTGGAAGCTCAGTTGGCTGTCACTTCATGGATCCCTCTAGGCTCTCTATGTGTGAGTTCTCTACCTTCTGATATTATCTTTTGACTTGCATCTTTTTTCTGTTTGAAGAGCTCCCTTTAGCATCTCATATATGACAGGTGTCTCTCATATGTTGTTTGTCTGGGATTGGGTTTGAATTTCCTTCATGTCTAAAGGATAGTTTTGCTGGGTACATTATTGTGACTTGGCATTTTTTTCCCTTCTGTGCAGTGACAGTCTCATTGTAGTCTCTCCTGGCCTGAAACATTTGTGCCTGGAAGTCTCTGGGTGAGAGACATGGGACCCTAATTTCTCTCCTCTTGCAGCTTTGAGATTCCTTTACCCACTTGCATTTTAAAGATTTATTTGATTTGTTTGAAGGTAGAGTTATAGAGAGGGAGAGAGGGAGGGAAGGAGGGAGAGAGGGAGAAAGAGAGAGAGATTGCATCTGCTGGCTTGCTCCCCAAATGGCCACAACAGCCTAGGTTGGGCCAGACCAAAGCCAGGAGCCTAGAACTCCACTCGGGTTTCCCACGTGAGTGCAGGGACCCAAGAACTTGGGTCATACTCTGTTGCTCTTCCAGGTGAGTTAGCACAGAGCTGGATTGGAAGTGAAGCAGCAGGACTTGAACTGGTGCCCATCTGGGACTCTGGCACTGCAGGTGGCAGCTTAACTCACTGCACTGACATTTGCTCTTGAACTACTGTCCATAAACACTTTGAATTTCATCCTTTTTTGTCTCTATTCTCCTCTGTGTATTTTCAAATAGCCTGTCTTCTAGCTCACTAGTTGTTTCTTCTGTTTGATCTGTTCCACTACTGATGCCTTCTATCCTGTTTTCACGTTGAATCCATGTAATTTCCAGCTGAGGTTAAGAGTGAGCAAGTGGGGTCCAGTGTAGAAAGGAAATGGAGATTACATAGAGGAAGTAGAATACCATGGGTTTGGAAAGTCTGATGGGAGAGGTAGGGACAGGAGCAGATCAGAACCTGGGTCTCCTAGGAGCTTCTAGGAACTGGGGAGTTGGGGGGTGAGAGGGTAGGGAGTCCTTCTCCTTCACCTGCCAGACCTCTCCACTTCCCACCTCGGGAGTGCAGGGGGAGGGAAAGGACCTTTGTAACCGCCGTGAGCTGAGCTACCCTGGCCCCTCCCTGTACCCTCTGGTGGCTGGCAACAAACAAGCAGGCTCAGGGCAGAGGACAAAGGCTTGTTTGAAGCTCCCTTTATAAAGGCACAGCCTGGCCTGGTTGGGCAATGAGAGGGTGGTGAGAGTGCCCTGGCTGGTGCCAGGCAGTGAGCAGCGAGGCAGCCATGGGGCTCCTGTCGGGAGAGGCACTGGCACCCCTGGCCGTGGCTGTGGCCATCTTCCTGCTCCTCGTGGACCTGATGCACAAGCGCCCACGCTGGGCTGCCCGCTACCCGCCGGGCCCCGTGGGCATACCTGGCCTGGGCAACCTGCTGCAGGTGGACTTCCGAGGTATCCCGAACTGCTTCCGTCAGGTAAGGTGGTGGAGACGGAGGGCGGCAGAGGTGGGGGACCCAGCAGAACAAGGGGAGTGGGTGGATCTTGGGCTGGACAAGGACCGGGTGAGACCAGGAAGCTGGTGTCAGAGGCTTCCAGGGGAAGGGCCCCGAGCGGGCCTGGGACAGTTGGGATTTCCCAAGGCAATGCCTGGGAGGGCAAAGCCCGGGGTGGGGCAGGACTTGGCAGCTTTTAGCCCCTCCCCCCGATGGCACACAGGTTATGCAGGCCCCAGGGCCCCTCTGATTACATCCCAAGGAGAAGGTTTGGGGTCGGGAGCAGGGCCCTGAGCACCACTGGAATCAAGGAACTGAGGCTGATGAGAGATGCCGCAGCCTGGTTCCAGTCTTGTCACTGTTCACCTCTGTGACCCAGGTTCTCTCACCTGTAAAACGGGATGGGTCTGCGCCCCACTGACAATGCTGTGATGCTGGCAAGGCCGCAGCTGGGTGGTGGGGCCCAAAGGGGATCCCTCAACCAGGGGGACAGGACTCCCAGGATCAGGGGGTCACGACTTGCACCTGCCCACATGGGGTCCCCAAGGCTTACCGGGATAGTGGGACAAGCAGCTCTCGGGGACCTGGTCTTGATGGATGCCTTGACCTTGGCTCTGCAGCTGCGTTGCCGCTATGGGGACGTGTTCAGCCTGCAGCTGGCCTGGACGCCTGTGGTTGTGCTCAATGGGCCGGCGGCGATGCGGGAGGCGCTGGTGACTTATGGCGAGGACACCGCGGACCGCCCATACTCACTCTCTTTGGAGCACCTGGGTTTTGGGCCCCAAGCTCAAGGCAAGCGGATGTGGAAAGACTGGGTCCCGAGGTGAAAGGGGGTCAGTGACCACGAACAGGTCATACAGGGATGGTGACCTAAACATGGGATCAGCAGAAGCCAGAGACAGCCAGGGCCAGGGTGGAGAATACATCAAGTAGGTGCCCAAGTGAACAAGAGTTTGGGGGTGATGGCTGCTAGATGGTGGAGTGAGGGAGGAGTTTAGGGGTGTGGGTAGGGGCAGTGCCACCTACTGGCCATGCCCACAAGTTTACTCCCGGCCACAGGAGTCATCATGGCTTGCTATGGCCATGCATGGCGCGAGCAGCGCCGCTTCTCTGTCTCCACACTACGCAACTTCGGCATGGGGAAGAAGTCGCTGGAGCACTGGGTGACCGAGGAGGCTGCCTGCCTCTGTGCCGTCTTCTCCGAACATGCTGGTGGGTGATGGGATGAGGGACACAGGCAGGCAGGGATGGGGAGCCAGAGGCAACCACCTGATAGCACCTCCACCCTCAGGACACCCCTTTAGCCCCAAGGCACTCCTGAACAAAGCCATTGGCAACGTGATCGCCTCGCTCACCTTTGGGTGCCGCTTTGAGTACGATGACCATCGCTTAACCAGGCTGATGGACCTGATAGAGATCATGTTGGAGGAGTCAACAGGGATCTTGCCACTGGTGCGGGGCTCACGGAATTCCGTGTGAGGATTTGCACATACAGGGGTAGAAAGGGGCATTCATGGAG